GTTCGAGACAACTGGATTAAAGTTATGGCTGAATACTCTGAGATGGCCACAATAGCACTGTTGCTATTTCCGACATCCTACCTGTGTGAGGCGGGGGGTTTCTGCAGCAACGGCAACGAAAACAAAATTACGAAGTAGACTGGACATAAACCACACACTTGAGGTGTCATTGTCTCCTATTACCCCGAGATGGGACCGTCTGGTTGCAGAAAATCAAGCTCGGTGCTGTGGTGAGTCGTCATTTTCATGCACTTTGAATTTGCGTTGTATCGTATTTTGAAGGCATTAAACATTGCCATAGCGATCGGAGTGTTGCGGCCAGATTAGACGCTCCTTGTGTTTATTATTATATTTCGAAAATGCCACAGTTTTCATGCCGCTCATACCATATTATTTTGTTGTATTATTTCCGCCACACCTTAAATGCCGGTCCCTGAAAATATTGTCTGACATAAACCGGTCCGTGGGGCAAAAAAGGTTGGGGGCCCCTGCTATAATGCACATCTCTAGAAGCCTCTGCTCTGTTTCCCATAAACAGGGGGTAATGGGTTAGCGCTACACCATGGAGTGTTCCGATATCCGCACAAAATCATCTTATGCCACCACTATTGGAACGGAACTCCACCATATACTGAGGACAAGTCCATTTACCATATGTCCCCTTTAAAACTTGTCAGTTAGACATAGATATTAAAGAGTGCTGTCTGTCTGACCACAGCATGCAAGAGTATTTTCTTGAGAATCTTCCTCAATAAATCTGCAATTAGTTCAATAGAAATCGGGATTTTGTCAGCCAAGCTTGCGTCTAATTCAGCGCTATGACTCTAATGAGGTGGTTAGTGCAAAGCCAAGCTGTATGGTCCAGCCCCAGTTGAGCCCGCCGTGAAGCGCATACCTTTAGCTTTGACTGGATCTCGCGAGATTTTCTTCGGGCGAGAACCTGCAAGTGGCTAGAAACCTGCACAGAAGAATAGCCAAAGAGGGAGGGAAGGAGGCAAAGGAGAGAGAAGACAAGAAGAAGAAGAAGAAGAAGGGAAGAGAGACGCCGTAACCAAAAGAGGAAAGAGACGCCCAGTCAGTGTCGCCGGAGAGGCGGGGCAGGTCGCCATCACCTACCTTGATACCCGCCTGGTATTCACGAACTTTCTTCCGTGCTAACACCTGTATGTGACTAGACACCTATGGGGGTGTGAGAAAGTTTTTGAACACAAGAAACACAACATGCATTAGGATGCATGCGCGCGCGCACACACACACACACACGGAGTGCAACCCTTCACACCTGTACAGTGGAAGTTCTAAAGTTGGACAATTTTGGCAAATCTCGTGAGACTTCAGCCCAGTCAGCATCTAAGGCTGGATCTACCTGAAAATGACCTCACAGTTGCTCAAACTCAGGTAACCACCAATCACCTTTTTTTCTGAGTTTGGTCATGTGACATTTGTAAACTGCACCGTGACTGGTCATGACCTGAGCCCTGAGCGACTGTAATCTCATTTTCAGTTGACAGCAAGTGACAAAATGGCCGCCCCCGCAGATGGATAAAAACTGCTGGATTTTGATGCTTATTTTATAGTCCACAAATACTTATTATATCAGAAAAAAACATGATTTTAAAGATTCATTTTTGAGTTGACTTCCCTTTTAAGAAATAATAGTGTTAAGAGAAAAATCATGCATGCCACAATTATTAGCACCGCTCATGCTAATATTTTGTATAAACCCCTTTTGCCAACAAAACAGCACCTAATCTCCTATAGTGTTTCATAAAATGGGAGAATACAGAAAGAGGGATCTTCAAGCATTCCTCTTTGCACAATCTCTCCAAATTATCCAACGACCTGGGTCCTCTCTTTGCACTCTCCTCTATAGCCCCCGCCATAGCTTTGCAATAGGACTGACGTCTGGGGACTGAGATGGCCATGGGAGGAGCTTGATCCTGTTTCTGGCAAACCATGTCTACAATTTTCAGTATGGGGCTTTTCCCATAAAAACAAAGTTGTTTTCAGGATTTTAACACATCTTAATTTCATCATGGGTACCAATAATTGTGGAGGGTACTGTATATTGTTTTTATGGAACATAATGGCATACTGTATTTTCACACTTGAGAATGTTGAGAATGGGACTGAAAACACTGCTTGTACAATTCTAATGATGTTTTTCATGTGTCTGATCTTAGACTTTCCACTGTACTTACATGAATGAACAAACAGCTCATGCAAACAAATGTAGAATTCAATTTAAGTCGAAGAAGCACCATGAACCACCACCTTTTACTCGCAACAAATGCATCTTACGGCTTGAATATTACATCTGAAACAATGCAAATTATCTTAAATAGAGAAATCACGTAATAGTTTTTCTTCTGAAAAGTATTTTCCTCTTTAATCACTTCATATAATGAATCTGTATGGTACAGTGATGTCTTGAAATACAAGACAAGTCGTTTGGCTGATTTTTCACTTTGACTGCAAGCACTGTGTAGTGGAAGTGAATTTAAGTCAACTCACTTCACGGCAAACGGCAGTTTTGGCAGATTGTGAACAGTTCATATGAAAAGAGGTTTGAGGCTGATTATTGTCACTCACAATGAAAGTTTAGTGTCAAACTACACGTCACAAAGATAACACTAGTCAACACATTTTTACTTTTTACATTTTTTTAAATCAGAGATGAAAGTAATTTTTGTATAGATGATTTCTTTGAACCAATTTTGAAGCAGTTTTTTTTCTCTAGTACATCAGGATTTCATGATAATGATAATAAATAAATCAAGAACGAAATAGCAAAATGTAGTAAAGTATTTAGCAATACTTATGAATGTAAGGTTAGGTTCATTTTTTTTTTCTGAAACGTCATTGCTGTAAATTACAACACATGGTGAAATGCCAAGCTTTTATTGGTCACACTTAAAAACAAAAAATGAAAATATCTTCAAACCTAACTAGAGAAGAAGTAAAGACATTTGTACATTTAGGGACACAAAGCCATCTCTGATTAAAATGTGCTGTTCACCAGTGTAATTAGACGTAGTTATTTAAAACAACCACATTTGTTTCAATAAGACCGTTTACTGGAGCTTATTGATAACAAACAAATGCAAAACGCCATAGATAGGCAAGTGAATTGAGATAAAATGTTAAATATAGTGGAATGAATTAAACTCATGTCTCAGGGTACCACGGCATGTTTCACTTTTTGAATTGTAAGAGTGAAATAAATTAATTTTCTACCACATTCTAATTTACTGAAATATACAACAGTACACATATACTGTTCAGCGTTACAACATGGTGTTATCCCTAACATGAAAAAGACTGATGCAAGAAGAAAACAATAATTCTGGTGTTATTCATTTGTTATTAAAAAGGTGATTCTGCATCTCCGGTGTTGTAGGGGTGTAAATTAATTGAAAAATAATGCATCTATGATCCATTAAATTTGTGAAACACTCAAACAAAGCTTAAAATTATTTACCTGTTTCCTAGTGCGAGTCTTCCCCGTCCTCAGTTTGATATACCGCGCTATCAATTCATTGCGACCTGTGTGGAGAAAAAGGCAAACTAGTAAACACGAACCTCCAGGAATCTGTAGAGAAAAAGTGTTGATTCCGTGCATGGGTGTTTGCTGCCATCATGCGTTGAAACGGAGTCGCAACGGGAGTGCATCAGTAACGCGCCCAAATAAGACTGTCGACAAGAGGGGTGATGCCCAAGACCAGTCTTTAAATATGCTCGCCGTTCGGGAAAAGTAACATATTTTCCCCAAATTCTCATACTCTCATACTTTCTGTACAACCAAGCAGAAAAAAACAACACAACGCATTATAGACAACTGTAACCAGGCTGATATTTTTCACATGTAAGTCACAACCACTCCTGTTAACTTGACAATAATGTTGTACTTGATACTTGATAACTTATGCTACTGTAAATGGATATATCATTGTAAGCTGAAGATTTTCCACGTAACTCCTGACGCAAATGGGCTAATTTAAGGCTTAAGTTGTTTTGGTTAACGTCATGGCTAATGTCAATTCATTATCTTGTTGTGTGTATAATCTTTGAAAGTAGATGAAGGCACACGTAGGAATGACAACATAAGTGGGCTATGGAGTATTTTCTGCTATTTAGTTGGATGATGGGATAAAACGTGTAAATTATTTCTCTTATGTCACAAAGTGGCAGAGGAGAGGGAAGCTGTTGCCCCCGTGACCCAGCCCTGGATAAGCGGTAGAGAATGGATGGATGGATGGATGGTAATCTCACGTGTTCTCTAAGCCATATTTAGCTTTCAGAAATATAATTTTTTTGTTGAGCAGCAATAAGGAGGCCATTGCTTCGAAACCCCTGATCCGACAACATTGTTGAAGGAGGCCATTGCTTCGAAACCCCTGATCCGACAAACCTAAATTTTGAGAGTTTCATCAAAATTCAATTCTACTTGGTTAAAATCGTCAGATTTTTGAGTGATTTGGCACGTAATGGCCCACAGGTATTTAAATTGGAGATTAGTAAGCAGGTTCTCACCACAAGCCTAATTACCGAGATGGAAAACAGAACAGACCTCACATCCACTCACGACATTCTGCACAAACTGTTTGCATGTCTATTTTGGGCACGCGTGGCTCTCCTTATGTTTCTGGTGTATGACAAGTGCTGAAAACATGATCCTGGAGGAAAAAATGTACTTAATTTCAAGTCACGCCAGTTTTTGTTGCTTCAAAGCAGGCCAAAGGCAGAGGTCTCAGACGGTGGACAACAGCACACAGGTGAAACTAAAGCAGTGTATACACTTGCTGACAATCCCGCACAATGTCAGCATGTTTCACCGCTTCCAATTAAAGTCAGCAAAAGGCAGCTTGTCGGATGTGAAAGATTATCCTGAGTGATTACCCTGCGGTGTCGGATGCGTTAAGAATGATTTTTTTCCTCTAGTTAGGGCTCCTAAGTGTACTACAAATGTTTCTTCTTTGTACCTTCTGGCAGTCTGGATGCCCTGTGGCCATGGGTGAAGCCATGGGTTTTCAATGAAGGGAAGTATTGGGTCGGTTGTGGGGTAAAAATTGTTCCGCAGAAAAGCAATTTTATGAGCAAATTATCATCTCGTTGCGTTCAACTGCTCTTTTCCATGGTCAAAGACCTAAGTAAATAAACAAACGGGTTGGCTGAGGTAAAGCTCAGAGACAGTTAAGCACAGGTGGTCAGATGATCAAGTCATTCACTGCCAGCAGTTTTCAAAGCAGAACTCCCCATATTGTCCGCGGTTTCAACACATAACCCACAGATTATTCTGTTCTGTGACAATATAAACATCAAACCTACTAAAAGGGAAAAAAAGACATTCATGGACATAAGCTTGGACTTAGGAACACTGCTCAACGTTTTTCTCTTGCATGTTTAGAATCAAACAGTAACACAGTCCTTCCCAAGAGCGGTGAGGCCCTGTTTGAAATCTGAAAATCCTCTGAAGACTGCCAAAACCTCAATACATGTGACCGGTATCAATAATACACAAATAAACAGTTTTCAACGTGTATGTAAATGTAGAGGGTAGGGTTTAATTCAAACGTGTTTTTTACATCAAAGAAAAATAACGTATTGAAATAGAGTATCAATGCGACAATATAAAAATTGGGTCAAACCATTTACTTCCTACACACAATTGAAAATATGGATTTTACAGTTTGAGGTCAATTACAACTGTGATTCCGTTTTACAGAAGGGAAACACTTGCAAAGCACAAGCCAATGCTTGATGCAAAATGTCACTAATGAAAAATTGTTAGTCTAATAAGTGTTATATTTGAATGAAACTAATGCCATGGTATTTTATTAGTAAGGTTAGAGTGCCTTTTTCGAGATTTCAAGCCAATTTTTCTTTTGATTTGAATTGCAATCACAAATTTGAAAATCGAGCGTTGTATGTTGGCGGTTAACTCAACTCAACAAGCTGCACTTTGGCAGACAGTGAACATTTCTTCAAACAAGTGGCTTGAAAAGCTGCTTATATCCTAGAGCATAGTTATTCTTAAAACTAAACGTAAAACAAAGGAAAGTACACGTTGTGCAAATAAAACAATTACATTATTTCGACTTAGACAAGTCCACTTAGCTTGATGCTAACACAATGATAAATGCCTTCGGTAGGCTAACAACTAGCATCGGTTTCACAGTGTTATAACCCCTTTAGCAATGGATTTTTGCCCAAAGAGCAATACGTAGAGACAGACTTTACATACTACTCATATACTACATAATACTCATTGGTATATTTTCTTTATCCTCTGTGAAGAACAACTAATAGTTTTGCTGTTTACTGTGCTGTAACCACCATCTCCTTGTACATCCATCCATGTGTTTGACCCCAGCCAGCCAAAGTGTGCAACCAAAAGGAGCAGCACATTGTCCATTGAAATGAAGCAAGAAATGAGGCAAAAGAAATAACTGTTTACAGTCTACTTATTTCATTACTGTTTTTAAAAATTTCAAGATAAAATGCCATTTTGGGTCCAAACAAATTGGTATCAGTGCATCATTACTGTGTACCACGTGTAGTTAACGCTATTGTTCAAGAACTTTCCATGCAGCAACACAACAGGAAAGGTGTCCTGTTTTTTCACCCACTTTTTTAGCACGTAGCCTCCAGAGGGCCCTGCATCTCGCAGTGACCATAAAAGTACAGCATGGCCCTCGCCGAACAGCCTGCCCGATACCCAACAAGTGCCGCCCACTTTTCGCTTGGGGCCAAAGGATGGCCACGCCCGCTCCGGCGCCTCCACATTCCTTGCATTCCTCCAAGCCTTACACATCTGTGCGAGACACACACACACACACCCACACACACACACACACACACACACACACACACACACACACACACACACACACACACACATCCAGTAGCCCAGGGAGGCGAGGGGGTGACATCAGGGGTTACGGTCGGGGTGAGGGCCATGGCTCTGCTCGGGTGGAAGGTTGACGGTTGAGGGGGGGAGAGGGCAAGGGGGCAAAAAGGGCAGCTGATGCTGTAACTCTTGGAGGCAACACAAAGCAATCAGTGTCTCTGCCAACAACTGCCACCTGGCCGAAGGGGAGGAGGACGGGGCCAGGGCAGCCCACCCCCTGCCAAAAAACCACCACTGTGTGACCCGGCACGAAGCAGGCGGCAACACCTGCTGCTGACCATCCAAGTAGATGATGGCAGAGGGAGAACAATGCCAAGCCCACCAACTGTCACGCTCAATCTCGTCACTTCTGCCACAGGTTGCACAAATGTCTCATTGCACACCTTCAGTAGTGAAAACAGTTTACTTCAAACTGTCAAAATTATATGCTGTTCAAATTTAGACCCGTTGAAATTGACAGTGGAATTGAGGTTACCATGTCTGTCTTACAATTCCAAAGTTCAGGGTTCATATATAAGCTCCAGCCTTCCCATTTGGAGTTTACATGTTCTCCCCATGTTTGCACAGGTTTTCTCTGAGCACCCAGGCTTTCCTTCTGCATTCCAAAAAAATGTATGTTAGAATCATTGAAGACTAGATTACCTGAATGTGTCGACATGTTCTCTGCTATTGGTTGGCCAACATGACAGGTGGTGCCTCACCAAAGAATCCAGTGAAGTAGTGAACCCCTGTAGTTTCAAAGTTCGGCATTCGTGAATTTGCTGAATTTATTTTGGAAACTATACTACATGATTCACTGTTAAATTGGCGCGATGGTGAAGAGCCACAAAGAAAACGTGTGTAAAAGACATGTAACAAGGAAAATAAAGTGCAACGTGTACCAAAACAGCAGGTCTACAATTGCCCCAGCAAGTGATCAATGTTGCACAGAGGCCAGAGCACTATGAATCACTTTGGGTAAAAAAAAAAAAAAAACCCACACAAAAGCACATACAAACATAAGCTTCGAGGGCTACAACTGACGCCCAGGCACCAGGGTTATAATAGTTTGGAATTTTTCATTATCCTTTGTTTTTATTAAGTTTTGACTTTTGTTATTTTCTTACTTCAGTTATTTTCAATTAGTTTGATAATTTTTATTATTATTATATATATATATATTTATTTTTGAAAATGCATTACAAAGCAAAAATCTAACCACACACAGTCCACACTGAATATCTTTGAACACATTTTCAATAGAAGTTGTAA